AAAAATTAAGTTAATAAAATAAATAAAAATAATAATATATGTATAATAATAAATTAATAATTTACTTATAATAATCACGTTCTTTTTGAGCCCAAGAAATATGTTGTTGCCATTCAATAACTTTTTTTTCTATATCTTGTTCTGGCCAATATTTTATATTAAATCTCATAGATTTACATAAAAAGTATAAATCACTACGTGGTGATAAAAATTTTATTTTTGGAATATATTTATACTATATACGCCAAAAAGTTGTTAAATGTACAGGTTTTTTATTCTTATTTGTTTCAATTACTTCTTCAAATATTCAATATAAAAAAGAATAACTTTCTCCAGCAGGAAGAAATATAATCGGTAATGTTTCTTTTTTAAAATGACGTCCTTAAAAATAAATTAGATTTAATAAAAAATTAAGATAAATTTAATTTCAAATAAAATTTAATATACCAGGAGAAGGTAAACCATGTGAATTAGCATAATTCATTATAAATGTTAATATTTCTAAAACATCTTCAAATGAAATTGAATGATTACTTGAACGTCCTTCTAATTTATGCTTTCGTGGATTAATATCATTTTGAATATAATGTTTTTTTATATTCTCCCACTTTTTAGATCCAATACCGTAAATTACTAAAAATGCTGAATTACAAATTTTTATTCCTTCAAATGAATATTCATTAGCAAGTTTTTTTCGTTTTTGTCCTTTTGTTGTAATATCCCCTCTATTTGTTGCTGCAAGAATTCCTTTAAAGAACATGTTTTTTTCATTATTAGTTAATTGATTAAAATTTTGATACCTCATAATAGCATCATCATGATCAATTTTTGTTTGAAGACATTTTTCTTGACAACATTCTGTAATTTGTAATTTTTGCTTTTGAGCTTCTTCATCAAATTTATTTAAATTATTCTTAAGCCTCATTTCCTGCTTAAGATTGATCCTACCAAATTTTATCTGCAAATAGTAAGAAACAGTTAGTGCAGTTCATATGCACCAAGATTCAAGTTAAACTGACAAATACCTCAGCTTGATCCATATTCCTCCTCAATAACTGTTTATCTTATCTTTCTCGAGCTCAAAGTTGCTCCAGAATGAATTTGTAGATTCTATTGAGCTGACTCTTTAAAAAAAAAAAATAGAAGAGAATTACATTCTGCTATAACTTGTTTCAATACAATTCAAGGTGAGACATTAGGAACTGAGTTGTTTTTGACATTGAGACGAGTTGTCCCTGGCTTTTCACCCAGATTTAAATGAAGCTTACCGGAAGAAGTTTCATAACTAGTCACCATAGCTAACCTAATAGACTTAAATACTCACCCTTAACGCTTTGTTGAGGATTGAGGCCGCCTTCCTACAATTTCATTTGTATTTTCTGCAACGTATGTAACGAACTTTGATACAAGAGTATACTAGACCGTCTTATTGAACGAAAAATCATCCTTTGCATTATGGGAAAGAGAAGGGAGAAAGCTTCGGGGACTAAAATCATTTTCCAAGCCTTCAAACTGTGGTGGAATAAGAAAAGACAGAGACGCAAAGTCGTGGATATTTATTTTATCACGAGGTGATAAAATTTTATAATACATCTTAAACATGACATAAAAAAGGTAATCATACATGTGACAAATGTACAAAAAAAATCAATATAATCGGTCGGAAATATATAAATTTTTTTTTTTTTTTTTTTTTTAAACTTTCGGAAATTTTAAGGAATAAACAAAATTTATTATTTTTAAAAAAAAAACTAAGAATTGTATTGAAATTGTACAAAATATGTGATGGGAAGTATCGAATTGTAAATAAAAAACGAAATTATAATAAATTTATAAAAAAGTATTTATTGTCTAATTTTTGCTTAAATCTTGCAAAAAAAACTGCTTTTTTCTCTTTTATGCTATGGCAACAATTTCAAACGAATCAACTATAAATAATCAGGATTTCAATATATATATATAATATATATATGGTGTAAGTTTTGACGTTACATAAAACCTCCTACAGATATAATGAAACATATATAAATATATGAATTAGCAGTAAAATAAGCAAGAAAAAGACGGAAAATGATTTTTGAATCTAAGAGAAGATACAAATATATAAAATAATAAAATAGGATAAGGTTAATGTGACAGTCAATTACGATATTTTTTTTTTTATAACGTCCATATATTATTAAATCTTCGCATAAATTATTTATACTACTTGTTCCCAATAGTGTAACGTTCTTTATTGTGACTGCCACTCTTGATTGCATCGGAATGTGGTTGAAATTCAAGTAGTTGATTATTATTTAAATCCAAGACTTGTTTCAGCTGCCGTCTAACGGTTTAAAGAAATATGAATAAAGTAAGATATTTGTCTTTTGATACGATATAAAAAAAAAACATCATAATTTTAATATTTATAATTAACATGCCCAAGAGTCATACAAATTTCTTTATTGTCTGATGATCGCGTCCACAAAGAAATTCTGTAAAAGATTTTCCTAACAGATACTACAGCACCGCAAACTTCATCTGCATAATCAAATTCTTCCCCAATGCAAGCTAGCATCTAAAAAATTTGATACACATAATCGAAAAATTCAGGCATTAATACATTTATTATTAAATAATATTGAACTCAAAATTGAATAACTATAAACAAAAATTACTCACTGTATAAAGCCAAAGTGTATTGATATCTTCTCCAGTCTTATTTCGCATAAATTGAACAACCCATTTCCCACCATATTCATTTACTGGATCTTCCCACATTGGTTTTATTCCCCGTTTAAAAAGATGATAATTAGATCCAGATGATAAATCACTAGCCTTGACTACATTATTGTAAACTCTATTAAATAATAATAATAATAATGATCATTGTTCATTCTCAATTTAAAATATTAAATTCATAAAACATTAAGATCGTGAACATTGAAATAAATATTCATTAAAAAAAAAAAAAAAAAATTTACCTACCCCCAAAACTCTTCCACGGAATCGAATGTAATTAACTCCTTAAGATTCAGAGACCAACTTGTTACACTTGCTTTTTTACCAGGATTATCAAACCATAACGTCCATGCGTTGAAAAGTGGGTGTTTCACATTAAAATTTACTGGATCATTAAAAACAGTTCGCATTTCTCCTTCACTATTGAAAGGGAACACGGTATCAACATTTTCGTTTACTGAGTCTTCAAGATCAGTAATTTCTCGGTTCATTACTTCAGCTGGAACCTTATTATCCACATTATCGTTATTATCAGTCATTTTTTATGAATATCACTAAATGTGATTTAATTCGTTTCTTTTTAAAAAGGATTTTGTAAAGAAAAAAATAAATTGTGAAAACAAGCTATTAAAAAAAGGTGATCAAAGGCGAGATGGAATCGAGAGTGTTTTTTTTTTTTAAAAAAAAAAAAATTGCATATCAATTCACGTGACATTTATAGAAACATGTCACATGATCTTGAGAATTATCTTTATTTAATAATTATTGCCCAAAAAAGGCTAGGTAATAGTTTTCTACTTCGTATTTAATTAAAAATAAAATAAATAATTCAATAATATTACAAAAGTAACCTAAGTGGATTTTCAATATAAGATCTCCACTCTTTTAGCCATTGAGAACCTACTGCCCCATCAACAACTCTGTGATCACATGAGAGCGTCACGTGCATTGTATTGACAACTCGATAGTTCGTCTCTGCATTAGAATCAGGAACAAGTTTTTGTTCAGTGTTTCCTACAGCAAGAATACATGACTGCGGTGGATTAATAATAGCTGTGAAGGATTTGACGCCAAACATCCCCAGATTTGAGATGGTGAAGCTTCCTCCCTAAAAGATACACATGCACGTTAATTATGATATATTATAAATCAATATCGGTTTGCGTTTTTAATCGAACCTGATATTCTTGTGGTAACAATTTCCCTTCTCTGGCACGACCAGCTAATTCTTTAACTTGCTTTGAAATGGTTGCCAACCCTTTTGATTGTGCATTTGTTACAATCGGAGTGATTAAACCGGAGGGAGTAGCGGTAGCGACGGAGATGTCAGCATTGTGATATCTGAAAATAAAAAAAGAGTTTTAGAGAATATATTATTTATAAGAAAAATCATTCATGCAATACCATATCATACTCACTGTCGAATAAAATCATTATGCCATGCACTATTCACTTCAGGAACGACCATAAGTGCGGAAGCAGATGATTTGATTATAAAGTCATTCACAGATAACTTATATTTGCCATCACTCTCATTATTAAGAGTTTCACGAAGTTGCAAGACCTTATCCATATTAACCTCAATAGTTAGGTAATAATGGGGAACGTATACTTTAGAATCTGTTAATCGTTGAGCGATAACTTTACGCATATTGGTTAAAGGAATGTCAGTATAAGGAGATGTGGGTTCGATAATAGGCGTAACTGGTTTTTCGGGTTCTGTGGGTTCAGCAGAAGCAAGACTTTCAACATCAGCCTTTGTTATGCGACCTTTTGGTCCTGTTCCAGTAACTTGATTAAGAGAAACTCCAAGTTCATGTGCTAATCTACGTGCTACTGGGCTAGCAAAGATCCGTCCGGTAGTTTGGTGATCGGTTGTCGTTGGTTTAGACTGTTGAAGAGGAGTAGGGGGTGATGGTGATGGTGATGGCGGTGGTGCTGTCTTTTTTGAAGTTCCTTCTTTTGAACCATCAGATTTGGTCTCCGGCGCTTTTTCAACAACGTAATCAGCAAATTTTTCTATTTCTTCTTTCTCCTCAACTAAAACAGCAATTGGCTAATATAATTAAAATAAATAAAATAAATAAATTAATTAATTAACTAAATCAATTCTTATTGCTCATGGATAATAGATGATCGTATAAAAGACATACTGTTCCGATTTTGACGTCCTTTGTTCCAGTTTCAACAAGGACTTTGGCTAGATAACCCTCATCTTGACATTCGAAATCCATTTGAGCTTTGTCAGTTTCAATTTCTACTAAAACATCGCCAGGTGCTATCTCATCACCAATCTTCTTCTGCCAAGTGCCAACATTACCCATCGTCATTGTCGGAGACAATGCAGGCATAGAGATTACAGAATGGGGAGGATATGCTAAAAGATTATATATACAAATTTTATATATGTATCTATAAATTTATTTTTTTTAAATTATCTTAAAATATATAAATTTTTGAAATTTTTTTTTTTTTTTTTTTTTTTTTTTTTTTTTTTTATAAAGTGATCATTTTCTTTAGATATTTGCAATAAAAATTATAATTATTTACTATTAATCATTTAATATTATTAACTAAAAAAAAAAAAAATTATAATAAGAATACTTTATTATATTAATTTTATATATATATTTAAGACAAATATAAAAGGGTTGTTTGATTCATTCAACTGTAAATTTTACAATAAATAATCCTCAGTAATACCGAGAAAAGTAAAAGAATGGATATATTTGAACCAGTCGGACAAGTCGATAAACAAAAAAAAAACTTACATTTTGAAGCATAATAACGACGCGGTGTAGAATCGTAGCTAGCTAAATATGCTGAATAATTGATTCTAGCACTAAGTTCGAATTTACGATACAATATTGTGAGGTCTATTTATGGAGTCAAAATCTATAACGTCTTTCAACATTTTAACAATTAAACACGTATACGGCATACCAGTACGTTGTCAAAGGTTTTACTCCAAATTTTGCAATCCGCGTGAATGCAGCAGGTGTGACTAGCGGTGTGATTCTGGTAGAAACGCGTAAACTCCCAAACCTATGAAGTCTAGTCAAACATCGCTGGTTTCTTAAAGAATACATTTTGCTGAAATTCGGGCACAAAAATCTCGACTGTATTAGAGGTTGTGCTTATATGGGGGTTGACTATATTAAATTATGATATAATTTTTTTTCATAATTTAAAAAAGATTAGATTGATAAATAAATAAAATACTAGCACTAAAAAATACTAATATTAAAATTTAAATTATTTAATATCTTCTTTACCTTCATTAGGAATAATTCCCTTCTAATTGATTAATTTGATTGATCGCTACTTTTTAAAAATACCATTTATATTACTATTTATTAATTCGTTATATTAAAATAAGCCTATCTTATATGAATCTAATTTCTGAATGAACATTTAATAATAAATTAGTTAACTATCATTGTTAATCGTAGGCAACCACCAAAAAATTTTCTTCTCAACAAATTGTTTAGGTTTCTATTTTCTAATTCTATAGAATCAATTACTAGTAAAAATTTTTATGTTATAATGTGCAACTTTTTGTGAACATTATATAAAATCTGTTTCGCCAATAATAACATTCATTATCCAAGTTCCGATATAATCTATTATCAGAAATCAATGTTCTTTTTTTATATTTAAAATCAATAAATTTCAAATAAATGTACCAATATAGGTATTAAGAAAAGGCATTTATTGTATTTTTGGTGAATTTAATTCTAAAACAATATTGCATAATAACAAATTCTTTGTATGTGCGTTGTTCTGAAATCTTGAAAGTTGGACAGTTTATTAAATTGATTCTTTTCTCAACGCAGAAAAATATTTCTCATGTAGTACTTATTAATTAACTATTTTCAAATGAAACAAACAAAATGAATTTTTTATAAATATCTTTATAATAACATCTAAGAGAATATTAAGAACCATTTTGATCGGCCCTATTGTAACTAGAAAACCCACTCAACGCATGGGAAATAATTAACTTTAATGGTTGTCGATTTTATTGGTCACAAGTATTAAATTGTAGAATTTAGAATTAAAAACTTCGTTTCTCATGTAAAGTTCCAACAAATATTTTATGTAAAACATCGAAAGAAGTATTTCTCTTAAGGTGGTGATCTGTAGAATAATAAACTTATTGCTTTGATGTAGATATGTGATTAATTTAATGACCTCTTCATCGAAAATTCCCACTTATTACCTAAGATTTCTCATATATTATACTAATATCTCTGTATAGTCAATCGATGTTATTGGAGAGCTCAACTAAAATATTACACTTATCAAAAGGGGTAAATTAGAATTTTCGACATAAATAAAAAGAAGTCGTAAGGAGAATTTATGAATTTAATAACCAATTCAATTAATTCAATTTCATAAAAGAGCAATTCATATATGTTATCGATTACTAATAGAAATGATTTTAATCATTATAAATGTACATTTAAAGAAGATTTTATTAATGTTAGAAGGATTAATGGAGTTAAAGATATTATTTTTTTTATGTCGTCAAATAACGGATAAAAATAAATGTATTGAATAAATAACCAAAAACATCAATGTATATTAATGTATATAAAGAAAAGAAATTTTAAAAAGTACGTAATTCTTTGTTTATTTGATTTGTAAACGAACATATTTCTGATTGCTTTTTAAAAATGATTTATACTACATATTCTAACTTTTGATTTATATTTCTTTCTTTTTCATGTTTCATGTCATCAAAAGGTAAGTCATTTAATTCGCTTTTCAATTATTATTACTTATTGAAACATCATCAATGGAAAATTAGGCTTGTACCTAGTTAAATTAAATAAGAAATTTCCATTCTATACCAAAAAAAAAAAAAAAAATAAAAAGAAAATAAAGTAATCTCAATAAATGGTTAAACCATTTTCAAAGATATATATCAATTAGATAATATGGACCAACTTATTTATTGAATTTTTATTTTTTTGTTTTTATGTGATAAAGATTAAAAAGTAAATGATTGATTTTCGATCACTATCACGCCATCTGATGAATTAACGCTTTGGAAGGATCGTACATGAAATCATTATTTAGATTTACATAAACTCCCGTTTTGTCACAACCAAAAATTTTAGAAAAAGAAAAAATATAACCTTAAAAATTCTGGTGGTCGTCTAAAATTACAGTTTTCAATTATGAACTTATTCTTTCTAAAACATCAGACATTGGGAATGTCTTGCATCAAACAAATTTTATGTAATTATGCATAATAAAATTACAAAAATCATAATAAAGAGCGCACGGAACAAGGATCAATTAATCCTTTTCATCTCATAATCGATTTTGATTCAAATAACAATTTGCTTTTTAAAGTATTTAATAAATAATAGAATTTGGGATATGTTATTTAAAAAAAAGGTAAGAATTATTGTTAATAATTAATACGGTGTTATTATAATGAAGGAATTTCATGTGAAGTCTTGTGAAAAAGCAACCCATAATAGCCAAATGGATTGTTGATCGTGACCTTATTAAATCATTTTTTTTTTTGATCCCAAGTCATGTGCCTACTAATTTATTATTGATCCAAATTAGGGTGGCCCATTTTCTGCGGCGTTAAACTCAAAATATGCTTGCTTTATATAGTTAGATATGCAAGTATATTCGAAAATTTTTTATAAAATATGATTCTTTTTTTTTTATTTTTTCAAAAATGCGATAATTTCATCAAATTACTTTATTTAAAATCTATAATTATTATACTGCAATTATAAATTTTGATTATTAAAATACAAAAAATTCAAAGCAGCAATTGAATTTTCTGAAAGTGCATGCCGTCTATCACTAAG